TGCTGCTGGTGGATGGCTTCTCTCAGCCCTACCTGCCTCTGCCAGAGGTGGCGCGCGACTCCACCCAGGACGAGGATGCACTCACGTTGTACCTGGTTATCGCCTTGGCGTCGGTGTCTTCACTCTTTCTCTTGTCTGTGCTTCTGTTCGTGGGGGTGAGGATGTGCAGGAGGGCCAGGGCGTCCACTCTGGGTGACTACTCTATGCCTGAGGGACACTTTCCTGGCCATCTGGTGGACATCAGCGGCACGGGGACTCTGTCCCAGAGCTACCAGTATGAGGTATGTCTGACGGGAGGTACTGGGACTAATGAGTTCAAATTCCTGAAGCCAGCCATCCCCAGTCTTCAACTCCACGATGCTGGTTCTAATATGCAGGAAAAGGAGAACTTTCGGAATAGTCTTGGATTTAATATCCAATAAAATCTCCTTTAAACTCTGAACATTTTAACTTCATTGTCAAATTGCAGGTGATTCTTTTTCTTAATCTGCAATGGATTTTAGGGTTTTATTGATGTTGCATGCATTTTCATTTCACATGTATCTCTCACAGTTGCTTTAAAAATCGTTATGGGGTTTAGGATGTATAGAAACAATCTTCACTCTTGGTTTATTTTGTCGGAGTTTTATGTTAACGGTTCTACTGTTTGTTATGCAAGACACAGAAATGGAAATGCTGACTAAAGTATTGAGAGTAAATGTGTTGAGCTGGTGGTTACTGTGCCTGGTGGGGTCCAAGGCAGGCAGTTCTGGGTGGATCTGCAACAAAAGAAAGCGAGGGAGGAAGTGGAGGAGGGAACTAAAAAGGGGCAAATGCCACCACATAAGGGAGTTATTCCAATATACAATAAAATCCAGCAAGCAGGGATATTAAATGCTGCTGCATCTGGGTAGCAATTATATTGTTATTAGTATTCTTTGTCAGATTACTTTATCATAAAAGATTTTTTTAAATGCTGCCTCTCTGTATCCAGTCATGGAGGACTTTGTGTTCTCATGTTTTTATGAACTGATTTCTGTCCATGTGCCCTGCGTTAAGTACTGATTGTTCAAGTAATTTTTCTTTATCTATTTTCTAATAATTACTTCTAATTCTCAAAATAATCTAGGCCTTGATACTGCTGTTGCTTGTTTTTAAATACAACGTTTGCTTGGTTAAAATGTATGGCACTCTTTATCATTTATTGCTAAAGCAGATAATAAGTTCATAATTTTATTCTAAGTAAAGTAGTCTTTTACCAGAAGAAAACAGTATAAACACTTCCTAGGAGGACTGGAGAGGTGGCTCAGAGGTCCTGAGTTCAATTCCCAGCAACCACATGGTGGCTCACAACCATTCATAATAAGATCTGGTGCCCTCTTCTGGCCTGCAGGCATACATGCAGGCAGAACACTGTATACACAATAAATAAATTAAAGAAAAAAACTTCCTGGGAATTAAATATTTTAATGTAATTTATTTTTTATTTTGTGTGAATTGGTGTTTTGCCTGCATGTATGTTTGTCTCTGTGAGGGTGTCAGATCCCCTGCAACTGGAATTATAGACAGTTGTAAACTTCCAAATTGGTCCTGAGGACTGAATTTGGGTCCTCTTTAAGCGCAATCAGTCCTCTTAACTGCTGAGCTATCTTTCCGTCACCTGAAATTAAGGTTTTAAACTGTTAAAATGACTTAGATTTACTTTTCCTAACCATTAATAGAAGTAATATAAGCCTAATAGGGAAGAACAAATCTGTAATCCCAGCTCTCAGACAACTGGGGTGGAGAATAATCAATTCAAGATTGTTTTAAGCTACACAGTAAGAATTTTCCTTAAAAAATAAAGAAAGAAGGAAACTGAACCTGATATACCGGCATATGTCTATAATTGAAGGACGTAAGAGCCTGGAGTGTGAAGCCAGCCTGAGCTCCATGAGACACTTTCTCAAAAATTACAAAGAAGCAGAATGGAGAATTGGGGTTGGAATCCTCACACTTGAGGCTCTGGGGTAGGAGGCTGTCGTAAGTTGGCAGGACTTATGGCATGCTATGGACGTGACATGGCAGAACAACCAGGCTCTGCGGTGCCTTCAATACCAGCCTCAGCTACAGACTGAGACTCTATGTCTAAAGGACTCCCAATGATCTTAAAGAATGAACTGTGAAGTACAATGTCTAGTTGTGTGGGCCCAGCAGGTGGGTACAAAACCTTGGCTTCACTCTCAGCTCCTAGTGAAAAGAGTAAATATGGGTATGTGTGCACACTGAGCACTTTGGATGCCCAAAGATCAATTTTTGGCATGCACAAAAAAAGTAACTTTAAAATATTATTAATACTTTGTGGTCTCCCTCAGATAGCCATGAAGAATAAATCTGTGTTTATAATTGATAAATGCCTGATTATATTTTAAATAATAAGGTCTCAAATCTGTAGATGTACAGTTTAGTGGAGGAGCTGCAAATAGCTACTATGTAGTGTGGCTATATGGCTAACATTATGTTAGCGTCTGCACTCACAGGAAACAACTAGCTATTAAGACACTTGTATATACCCTGGACAGTGGTGGTGCACACCTTTAATCCCAACACTAGGGAGGCAGGGGCAGGCAGATCTCTGTGAGTGTGAGGCCAGCCTGGTAAGAACGAGTTCCAGGACAGCCAGGACTACACAGGGAAGCCTGTCTTGAACTCCCCCAAAAGACACTAGCATATATCCGCTCAAATTTATTGTTGAAATGTAGAGAAAGAGATAATTACAAAGTGTATATTTTCCTGGGACCATGTAGACTCTTGGGAAATTCAAGCCTTCATGTCAATGGTTTATACAACTGAAACCAAACTCTAACAAACTGAGCCATTGACAGTAGCCCTTCCTATTAGTCAGTATGGTTCCTGAAGAGCAACATTTGTGAATAAGAGCAAACTGGAAATGCACCAGCCCTCGTGTGGAATTTTAGCCTTGAACTTGACTTTTTAGCCTTAAGTTTAATTAAATATCACTGTAGCAGTAATGTTAGGTACTGATAACATCAAATGCAGGTAAATAGGGAAAATAAATTATTCCCTAAGCATAGATTGCTCACCCTATTGCTTGGTATTTTTAATGTTCTGCATACCCTAGGAAACATGAAGCCAAGAATGAGATCCAGGAAGAAAAAAAACAATGCTGAAATAACTTAAAAGAATGTAAAATTAGTATCATTAGGCAATCTACAATACACTAAGCATGTTAACTGAAATAGAAGTTAAACGTGAAAATGTGTGGCTAACAAAAAAATTGTAAAATATGATATATGGGTGCTAGAGAGATTGGCTCAGGTATTATGAATTGGAATTCCACGCCCACCACCCATCTCTGGCTGCTCAACTGTAACTCTAGCTCCCAGGAAACTGACTCTCTCTTCTGACTTCTGCCAGCCTCTGCACTCCACATGTGCACATGTCCACATGCAGACAGACACACCAACACTAATATGACATATTTGATAAGAACAAAATTAAGCTTCCATATGTAAAACACATTAATCAGAAATCAAATTTTGAAGCAGAATAAGACAATAAAATCACAACAAAATATTTATTCACAAAAAATATTCAAATACAATCATACATTCTGTAACTCAAAAAGTTAATACAATGAAAGTACAAGAGGAGATGATTAAAAACACAGGCAGGCATGCCAGCTGCGGTGGCACACACTGGCTGGATTGTCTAAGGAGGCAGAGACAGGACGGGCACAAGTAAGAGGTCAGCCTGGGCTACACATTTTAAGAACTTCAACAAAAAAAGAAAAAGTAAACACGGGACAGAGTAAAAGTTTTAACAGACATACAAAGGGAGAGATGAGGTTTTCTTTTTCCTCTCTCTCTCTCTCTCTCTCTCTCTCTCTCTCTCTCTCTCTCTCTCTCTCTCTCTCTCTCTGACAGAGTTTCTCTGTGAAGACCTGGTCATCCTGGAACTTGTTCTATAGACCAGGCTAGCCTTGAACTCAGAGATCTACTTCCATCAGATAAAGTTAAAGGTGTGCACCACCACTGCCCAGCAAGACAGATGAGCAAATTTTAACAGAGCAGAATCTGAAGAAATAAAGACTGGGGATTTCTAGAATTAATGAAGCATCAGCAAACAAATCTAAGAGATTGCCATAAATCTAAAAGGAAACGTTACAGAGATGTTTGTGTCTATAAACATCATACTGGAATTTCAGAAAACCAAAGAAAAAGAGAAATTTTATTTTAAAAAACTGCAGGAAATAGAAATTTGACTTCAACACATGATGATTACACTGTCCAGTCTGATCTGTGTTTCTCAGTAGAAGCAATGGAAAATAAGAAACCTTCAATATGCTGACAGAAGTTAGCAAGCCATTCTATCCTGTCTTTTTATAGAGTCATCAAAGGAAAAAACTGAACAAACTTGACATCATTTTAGTTTTAATTAATAAAGATCACAGGGAAGAAACAGTATAGATTTTATCTTTATGGACCCACACCTTGCCACAGATGTGGTCTAGAAGTTTGGCGTGTCTTTGTTTCTAGCCGATAGTCACATTCTTTCTCTCCTCCTCTCCTGATAAAATCTCAAAGTGTGGTCCAGACCCGGTTTAAATTGGTGATTCCCAGGTCTCAGCTTCTAGAGTGCAGGAATTATGAGTGTGTATCGTCAGGCCTGATTCCACAGTCATTTCTACTCTGGAATATCAACATCGGACCACAAGTACTTTCTAGAAGTGGTGATCTCCTATGACTGCACAGTCTCTCCTCTCTTGCTTGCCCCCCAAAGAGGACTCCCCAGAAATGAGTGCAAGGACAGATAAAAGGCCTTTGTGCATGCAAAGGAAGCACTGTACCACTGAACTGCATCCCCCAAACAGCATTTTTAAGCTGTGTTTTATTATTTCTCTTGGAGGGTTTCAATCACCAATTATGTCAATAAATCCCAAATTCATCACTGAAGCTCAATTCTTTCCTCAGTTTCATTTATATGATGGAAGATCATGTGTGTGGCTATAGGGATGTTCTGTGTTCACCTTAAACTATTTTTTCAAGACAGGGTTTCTCTGTAGTTCTTTAGAGCCTGTCCTGGAACTATCTCTTTTAGACCAGGCTGGCCTCAAACTCACAGAGACCCACCTGCCTCTGCCTCCCGAGTGCTGGGATTAAAGGTGTGCGCCACCACTGCCCGGCTCACCTTAAACTTCGTTGTTGCTGTTTTTTTTTCCGACTCACGTTTTAAGAATTTTTTTTTAAAAAAAAAACTTTTTTATTTTACATACCAATCCCTGTGCTCCCTCCCTCCCCTCCTGCTCCCACCACCTTCTCCCCACCTCAGCCCCAGACACCCCTCAGGATGGGTAAGGCCTCCATGGGGAGTCAACAAAGTCTGCCATATCACAGTGAGGCAGGACCTATCTAGGGGTAGGAAGGAATCCCTCCATAGGGAACGGACTCCAAAAAGTCAGTTCATGTTCTAGAGATAAATCGTGAAAAAAAAAATTAATGTCCAACATGGGTTTTAAGTTAAAATTCTCCCTTCCCCTAAACTGAAAAATGTTCCCCTTCCAGCTCCATGCACACCCCTCGTCCTTATCTTCTTTCTATGTTTACGCCACCAGTTAACAGCACTAACATCATATGATACTTAAATCTTGTGAATGGAGTAAGTTTTCCTCACTAGAACACTCCCCATATGACTGGTCCATCACTTCATCCCGTATTATCCCATAGTGTGGGTACAAATGCATTACTGCATTTTCAGTTGAGGCCACCATCATCTCCTACCTCTATTATTGCAACAAGCTCTTACCTGTGTCCAGTTTTTTTAATATATAATTCCTTCCTAGTTTAATCTCAACTCCGAAATACATTTATCTTTCAAAAAATAAAACCTGGATTATATTACTTTTCTGTTCAGAAAACTTCAACGTTCTTGCATTTCCACTGACATGCCTTATAAAGTCTTTGCTTGCTTTTCCAGTGTCAGCTTTTACCAAACTCCTCTTGTTCTGTGCAGTTGCCATGATCTTATTTCAGTTCCTTTGGAACCTGCCTTTCATTTTAGATTTGCAGTATCACGTTTTTACATTCCTAAAGATCCAGGGATTCGCATGTGCTCTCTTAGCACTGAGCTAGGCCTCCAGCCCAGCCAAATGTAATTTTTGTTTAGATTACTTCCACTTATTTCTCATGTATCAGTTTAAAATATACTTTCCCCAGGAAAGCCTTTTATCCGCCTCCAAACTGTAGTTAGTTGATCCTCTTCTATGATCTTATATTAGCACGAGCCTTCCTCATCAAGACAGACATTATGCTTCATGTTAAGTGTTCATTTCTTTCTTTCTCCCCTTTGCATAGCTGAAATAGCTTCGGCCTGATTATCATTCACTCCCTAATACTTACCACATTACTAGCTCAAGTACATACCTAATAAACAGTCACTGAGCAAATCAGAGAATACATAAATAAAATACTTGGAACCATGCCTTTGGAAGCCCTGAATGTGCAAATTAGCAAAGTCCTGTTTCACAGTTTTTTGATGTCAGAATCTGGACACATCATACTCTATTCTATACTGAGTATGTACTTTCTACTGCAGCCAAGAAAGTCTCCTGTGAGAATTCCTATGGAAACGGTACCATTTACCTAACCCAAAGTATCCAAGTTCCCCAAACAACCATTTAATTTTGCACATACCAGACCCAACTTCAAGTGCATAAACAACCCTTCCAGCCTTTTCTGAGAGCATCTAATAATGACTAGGAGAGATCGCTAGGCTGTTATTTTCAACTTTCCTAAGAATCTCTTGCTCATCTTTGTAAAGTCATTGACATGGGAGCCCTTTGAATTATCTTTAGTTTTACAGTTGTCTTTAAGGAGAGACCAGGAACTGTTTGAAACAAGGATTCTATTTCAAACCATTTCACCAGCACAGCTCTATCGGAGAGTGATTTATTGTGTTACTCACAAGAGCTACAACTCAGAAATGGAAATGGGAATAAAGAAGAACATATAATTTAGGTTTGTTAACCAATAAATTCAATAAATTAGTATATTGTCTCAAACTTATTTGGCCTTGTCGAATCCTGACACAGTCACATGGTGGCGCTGCAGGATAAGATGGGAAACAGTTTCCTAACTGCAGCTCAGTTTTCCCTTAACCAGCGGAAGTGAAAGCACCGGATGAAACAGCACGCCGGCATTCTAAAAAGATCGAGCACTTACAAGACCCTCCTGAAAGGACTGCACATCTACAAATTCCCAAAGGTTTAGATGAGCAAAACTGCCCTCTGAGCTGCCAGAGGCTGAGCTGAAAGAGAACAGCAGAAAAGCATCTTGTCTGAGCGATGATGGAGCCAGGAGTGAGGAGGGCCGTTCAGCATATAAGGCAAGTGCTGCTTTATTTTGTTTTCCTAGAAGGGTCCTTGGCTCTTTCCGAGACCTGGAGCTATTCTGTGGCAGAAGAAATGGAGACCGGCTCCTTTGTAGCCAATGTAATGAAAGATATGGGTGTGGGAGACCTGGCTGCGCGAGGAGCCAGAGTTATATTTGATGACTATCAGCCTTATTTGCGGTTAGAACCTGAGACCGGCAACTTGCTCTTGAATGAAAAGCTGGACAGGGAGGCACTCTGTGGTACCAGTGAACCCTGTATATTGCATTTCCAGGTGTTATTGGAAAATCCTTTGCAATTTTTTCAGGCTGAGCTTTTGGTTGAAGACATAAATGACCATACTCCCACGTTCCTAGAGAAACTCATATTTCTAAATATCTCAGAAGGTGCTAGTCCAGGAAGCTCATTCCAGATGGCTAGTGCTCAGGACTTAGATGTAGGAATGAATGGTGTCCAAAATTATACAATAAACCCTAACCCCTATTTCTACCTTAAGTTAAAAGACAATGGTAAGGGAAGAAAATACCCAGAGTTGGTACTGGATGGATCTCTGGACAGAGAAAAGGAGCCTTCAATTAGTTTAATACTAACAGCCCTGGATGGTGGCTCCCTGCCCAGGTCAGCGACGGCAGTGATTCAAGTTCTGGTGGTAGATGTCAATGACAATGCCCCTGAGTTTGAAAGAACGCTGTATGAGGTTCAAGTACCAGAGAACAGCCCTGTGGACTCACTGGTGACCAAGGTGTCGGCTACAGATCTGGACACAGGGGTAAATGGAGAAATATCTTACTCATTTTCTCATGTCTCTGGAGATGTACGGAAAACATTCAGAATCCATCCAGTTTCTGGTGAAGTCCATTTGAAAGCACCACTAGATTTTGAGGTAATTCAGTCTTATACAATAAATGTTCAAGCTGTTGACGGTGGGAGTCTCTCCGGAAAATCAGCCATTATTGTTCAAGTTATAGACGTGAATGACAACCCGCCAGAATTAGTCTTTACGTCTCTTATGAGCCTCATTCCCGAAAACTGCCTGTCAGAAATGGTAGTCGCTGTTTTCAGTGTGAGAGACCAAGACTCGGGAGACAATGGCCGAATGCTGTGCTCAATTCAAGACAACCTTCCTTTTCTCTTGAAACCTACTTTCAAAAATTTCTACACTCTAGTAACAGAGAATACACTGGACAGAGAGAGCAGAACTGAGTACAACATCACCATCACAGTCACCGACATGGGCACACCCAGGCTCACAGCCCAGCACACCATAACAGTGCAGGTGTCTGACGTCAACGACAACGCCCCCGCCTTCACACAAAGCTCCTACAACTTGTTTGTCCAGGAGAACAACAGCCCCGCCCTGCACATAGGCACCATCAGCGCCACAGACTCAGACTCAGGCTCCAATGCCCACATCACCTACTCGCTGCTGCCCACCCACGACCCGCAGCTGGATCTCTCCTCTCTCATCTCCATCAATGCCGACAATGGGCAGCTGTTCGTCCTCAGGGCGCTGGACTACGAGGCCCTGAAGACCTTAGAGTTCCGCGTGGGCGCCACAGACCAAGGCTCGCCTGCGCTCAGTAGCCAGGCACTAGTGCGGGTCCACGTGCTGGACGCCAACGACAATGCGCCCTTCGTGCTCTACCCGCTGCAGAACGCCTCTGCACCCTGCACAGAGCTCCTGCACAGAGCAGCGGAACCCGGCTACCTGGTCACCAAGGTGGTGGCGGTGGACAGTGACTCGGGCCAGAACGCCTGGTTGTCGTTCCAGCTGCTGAAGGCCACGGAGCCTGGACTGTTCAGCGTGTGGGCTCACAATGGCGAGGTGCGCACCTCCAGGCTGCTGAGTGAGCGCGATGCGCCCAAGCACAGGCTGCTGCTGCTGGTCAAGGACAATGGCGATCCTCAGGGGTCTGCCAGTGTCACTCTGCATGTGCTGCTGGTGGATGGCTTCTCTCAGCCCTACCTGCCTCTGCCTGAGGTGGCGCGAGACCCCACGCAAGACGATGACGACTTGCTTACGCTGTACCTGGTCATTGCCTTGGCGTCTGTGTCTTCGCTTTTCCTTTTGTCTGTGCTGCTGTTCGTGGGAATAAGGCTGTGCAGGAGGGCCCAGGCGGCTTCTCTAGGTGGTTGCTCTGTGCCTGTGGGACACTTTCCTAGACACCTGGTGGACGTGAGCGGAGCGGGTACCTTGTCCCAGAGCTACCAGTATGAGGTGTGTCTGACTGGAGTGTCAGATACCAAAGATTTTCAATTCCTAAAATCTGTGTCTCCCAACCATGAGGTTGTGAATTTCATGGAAGAGAACTCTACTTCTGTGAATGGTTTTGGATACAATTAAGAATCCGTTGACTTTGCAGATGGTTCCGGATGAATGTTCACTCTTTCTAAACATTCTTGTTTTCCATTGTTTATCTTCATAAGGAATTTCTAGCTCCTCACATACTGTTACAGGTGAGTCTGTTTTATAAAATCACTTCTGGTGAAGACAGAGAACTTGGCTCATTCCTGACAAGTCAGTGTTTCTTCAACTTGTCAGATTGTCAACATGAGTCCCTATTGATTTGAAAATGCTCACTTTCATTTTATTGACTGTTGTCCAGAAACATTCTCGAAAGTTTGAAATGCGATAGGGATGTCATGATATCAGTGTATTTTCTGTCCAATATTATGCTTTCTTATCTCAAATAGAGTATCTGAAAATGCATGATTTTGTTGTACAACAGTATTAATTGGGAACGACAATATCTCTGAAGTACCAAGGCTTTTATTGTCTTCATATGTACATCCAATATATAATACATATAAATATTGTTAAAATGTTTTTAGATATTTCAAAATTTGTTAAATGCCACATCCCTCCCGGGACATCTGACTAGCCCACCTTATGCTTTCTGAAAATATCTCTCTCTTCAGCATAGGTATAGGACCAAAGCTGATTTCCTTTTGTACAACTCAGGTCCCTCTACGTTCAGACAATTGGATGGCGTGATGGGCATTGCTAATCTAAACTGAGCCAGGCTGGTCCTGTTTACTTTCATAATGACTTTGGAAACCATATGTATGTTAGTCTTTCTGCTAGGAATGAAACAAGAAAGTGATGTCATCTTTTGGGGACATAGCAGAAGTCACACCTCTGAGAGAGGAAAGGAAGGAAACAGACAGGTGGTCCCGTGGAAGACATTCTTAGCAGTAATCCCCAAGTCAGCTCTCACTGTTGGGTGGGACTGGGGACAGAGAACTAAGATGTGCTCTTTAAATAGATTTTTCTAGTCCGGCTGAGAAATTCTTGCCTGGATTGGTGAATTACTCCTGTTAATTTTGTATTTTCTTTGAATTGTGCGTGCATGCTACTATAACACATCCAAAAGCTTTGTAAACTATTACAGAAACATGAAAAGGGAATGTGTAATCTTTGTCAAAATGGGTAATTTTGAAGTCAGGAGTGGTGGTAACTGAGGCAAGTTCTTGAGTTCAGAGCCAGTAAAGACCCTCTTTAGTTTAGGACAAGCCACGATGTTTTTCCTTTAAGGGAATGAGGGCTTGGACACACTGTGCTATTTCAAGTGAAAGAATACAGAGTAGGAAGATGCTGTCCTGTTCATTCAGCTTATTATAAGATGAGTTAGGTTCCCAACAAAGCAAGAGGCATCTACAATGGGAGGAAAATCCACACAATTTTGTGCTTTGTTCTATGATGAATTAAACATCTTCTCTGTCCCAGGGATTATTTTAGATGTGGGGATGCAGCAGTGAAGCAAACAATGCTGACATCCTTACAGGGTACCCAAAAGAAATATTCAAACACATTCCTCTACGGTACCTGTGGTGAAGAACACCAGGGAGAAAGAATGGGGAGAGAGGTGCTTTCATCTAGTTTTCCCCTAGGTGAAAAGTTTTACAACATTTTAAGTTTCTGGAAATATGTAGAGAGTGTATCATAAACTGGATCTAACATGTAGATTTTTTTCCTTTATGAAAAATCAACCAATGTAAACCACAATTGTGTTACCTAGAAGACATAAACTTACAAAGAAGCCCTGAAGTACTGACCCCACTTTATGCTGAATTTGAAATTGCATGCCTATATGTTACGAATTTTACAGGATGACTGATCTATCAGTTCTATGTCTTCTTTCATTTCTCGGTTTCCCCTAGAGTGTCCCAGCGCAGTTGCAGGGTTTCTAGTAGGGAGGCAGCTTGTCTGGGTTGTTTACTCGTGTATTTTTCAGAATCTGACACATTAATAACAAGAATTCCTTTTGCTTGGTGAGGGACTGCACAATCAAAATCACGTTAATTTCGTGACTGAATTTATTTTCTAACTTCTGACAACCAAAATAAACTACATAAAAAGAATGGAACCATGTAGCGATTTGTTGAGAAGCAAAATCAACGCATGGTGGCGCTGCAGGCTAAGGTTTTAAAAAAGGACGACCGCGGAAAAGGGAAAAATGCTTCAGGTCTCTGGCTAAAAAAAAAAGACCATAGAAGAGCTCAAACCATTAAGTCTCCAGCTTCGGAACAGGCTATAGACTGACAGATCGACCGCTCTCTGGGTGCCCTTGGACCCTGGGTGCCGAAGCAAAGATGAAGATGGGAAAGGAGCACAGACAAAGGCAAGTTCTGTTGATCTTTCTCTTATTGGGAGTGGCTGGGGCGGGCTGGGAACCCCGCCATTACTTTGTTTTGGAGGAAACACCCAGCGGCACGTTTTTGGCTGATCTGCTCAAGGACCTAGGGCTGGGAGTTGCAGAGCTGGCTGCTAGAGGAGCCCAGGTGGTCTCTGAGGATAACGAATCCCGCTTGCAGCTTGATCTACAGACTGGGAAGCTGATATTAAATGAAAAAATGGACCGGGAGGAGCTGTGCGGCCCCACTGAGCCCTGTGTCACACATTTCCAAGTGTTACTGAAAAACCCGCTGGAAATATTTCGAGCTGAGTTACGAGTGGGAGACATAAATGATCATTCTCCCGAGTTTCCTGAGAGAGAAATGACCGTGAAGATCCTGGAGAGTAGCTCTGTTGGTTCTGTGTTTCTACTAAAAAGCGCTCAGGATTTGGATGTGGGCAACAACAGCATTCAGAACTATAGCCTCAGTACCAATTCCCATTTCCGTGTTTCCACCCGAACCCGAGGTGATGGGAGGAAATACCCAGAGCTGGTGCTGGACCAAGAGCTTGACCGCGAGGAGCAGGCAGAGTTCAGATTAACTCTGACAGCGCTGGATGGAGGTTCTCCGCCCAGGACTGGCACCACACAAATCCGGATTATCGTCTTGGATGTCAATGACAACGCCCCTGAGTTTGCACAGGCGCTCTATCAGGTGCAGATCCCAGAAAGCAGCCCCGTGGGTTCCCTGGTTGCTAAGGTCTCAGCCAAGGATTTAGATACTGGGACAAACGGAGAAGTATCGTATTCTTTTTTTCATCCGTCTCAGGAGATGAGTAAAACTTTTGAGCTAAACGCCCTGTCGGGAGAAGTTCGACTAATTAAAACACTGGACTTCGAGACAGCATCTTCATATGAAATAGACATAGAGGCCTCTGATGGCGGAGGGCTTTCTGGGAAATGTTCCGTTTCTATTCAGGTGGTGGATGTCAATGATAACTACCCAGAACTAACTGTTTCCTCGCTCACCAGCCCCATCCCAGAAAATTCACCAGAGACAGAAGTGGCTCTATTTCGGATTCGAGACCGAGACTCTGGTGAAAATGGAAAGACAGTTTGTTCCATCCAAGATGGTATTCCTTTTGTACTGGAACCTTCTGTTGAAAACTTCTATAGACTGATGACAGAGAGCGGGTTAGACAGAGAGAGCAGAGCTGAGTACAACATCACCATCACAGTCACCGACATGGGCACACCCAGGCTCACAACCCAGCACACCATAACAGTGCAGGTCTCTGACGTCAACGACAACGCCCCCGCCTTCGCACAAAGCTCCTATATCCTGTTTGTCCAAGAGAACAACAGCCCCGCCCTGCACATAGGCACCATCAGCGCCACAGACTCAGACTCAGGCTCCAATGCCCACATCACCTACTCGCTGTTGCCCACGCACGACCCGCAGCTGGATCTCTCCTCGCTCATCTCCATTAATGCCGACAATGGGCAGCTGTTCGCGCTCAGGGCGCTGGACTATGAGGCCCTGCAGAGCTTCGAGTTCCTCGTGGGCGCCACAGACCAAGGCTCGCCCACGCTCAGCAGCCAGGCGCTGGTGCGCGTGCAGGTGCTGGACGCCAACGACAATGCGCCCTTCGTGCTCTACCCGCTGCAGAACGCCTCTGCGCCCTTCACAGAGCTGCTGCCCAGGGCGGCCGAACCCGGCTACCTGGTCACCAAGGTGGTGGCTGTGGACCGTGACTCTGGTCAGAATGCCTGGCTGTCGTTCCAGCTGCTGAAGGCCACGGAGCCCGGACTGTTCAGCGTGTGGGCTCACAATGGCGAGGTGCGCACCTCCAGGCTGCTGAGTGAGCGCGATGCGCCCAAGCACAGGCTGCTGCTGCTGGTCAAGGACAATGGCGATCCTCCGCGGTCTGCCAGTGTCACTCTGCATGTGCTGCTGGTGGATGGCTTCTCTCAGCCCTTCCTGCCTCTACCGGAGGTGGCGCGCGACCCCGCCCAAGATGAGGATGAGCTCACGCTATACCTGGTCATTGCCTTGGCATCTGTGTCTTCGCTCTTCCTCTTGTCTGTGCTTCTGTTCGTGGGAGTGAGGCTGTGCAGGAGATCCAGGGCGTCCTCTCTGGGTGGCTGCTCTGTGCCTGAGGGACACTTTCCTGGCCACCTGGTAGATGTCAGCGGCGCGGGGACCCTGTCCCAGAGCCTCCAGTATGAGGTTTGTCTGACCGGAGACTCTCAGAGTAATGAGTTCAGATTCATGAAGCCGGTGTTTACCAATATTCTAAACCAAAACTCTGATGGGCCATCAGAAGATTATCCACCCTTCCCGAGTATTTTAGGCATGTGAAACTTCACGTTTCACTTGCTGTGTAATTAATTCTCTTTTGATTTAGCATTTTCTTTTTAAATTTGGTAGTAATGTTTAATTGTATTTGTTTTTATTTCTCTGCTAGTTTAAGGAATGTTATCGTTTGTTTACTAGCTTGTTAACTGTGTGGGTATTTTTCCAGTTCTGTTGTTACTGAACGTTTTACATCAGGGCAGTTAGTGTTCCTGATTGAATTTGCCATACTTTCTCTCAAAGGATGTGAATCTCTTCTAGTGAGCACAAGAGAACAGATTAATTTATAGAGTGCTTGTGCAGTTTGTTGGAGGCCTTAGGTTGGATCACCCTGTAATCCCAGCATTTGGAGGTGCAGGCAGGCTATCAGAAATTCAAGGTCATTTACTACATAGAGAATTCAAGCTCAGCCTGGGCTATATGATGAACATGGCATATTAATTCTCAAAAAATAAAAATACATTCCTGAAGGTGTGACACCACAGAAGAATATATGATTTCTTTTAAATCATACTTTATGGTGCTGGAGAGATGGCTCAGTGTTTAAGAGAACTGCCTGCTTATCTAAAGGTCCTGAGTTCAATTCCCAGCAACCACATGGTGGCTCACAACCATCTGTAATGAGATCTGATGCCCTCTTCTGGCCTGCAAGCATGAATGTAGGCAGAATACTGTATACACAATAAATAAATAAATCTTTAAAAATATATAAATAAATCATACTTCATTTTAAAATTGAAAGTCCATAGGTTTTTGTTTGCTTGGTTTTTTTTTTTTGGTGTTACTAAGAGTTCAGTCGCCTCCTTTGTGTTATTTTTGGAAGAAGTTCATATTCATTAATACCAACTGTCTTTCAGATCCTCTGTTTATGTTTTCATTTCTCCAATAGGAAGTAGCAAGGTAATTTCAAGTTTTTTAATGTTCACTGTAAATATCATCTCATAAAAAAATGTATCCGTATTTCCTCTTCTTTCTTGTCTAAATTAATACAGAAAAGAGTAAAGCCTCCCTGTTATCTTTACTTGATGGGAGCCCTTGGCATGCTGCACCCAACGTCTGTGGTGAGGAAGTTTCTGTAAAATCAATAGATTCCAGGAACAATGATGTATTTCTTGCTGTTATCACTTATAGTGAGGATATCTTGATGTAAACCCCCAATTCTGGGCTCAGGTTACCTTCTGGTGGTATAACATTGCCAGTATCTACTTGCTTTGGATGATGACAATGTTGGAATAACAAATCTTCTGGTCTGCCCTATCACCTGGGTACCCAATCGCTTTAAGAGACAAGTCCTGCCCACTCCCAATCTCAGCCTTCCTTGAGAGGCAAGGGAATCTCAAGCCTTCTCCCCCTCCCCTCTCCTCTGTCCCTTCTTCTGAAAAGGCAGCTTTTGCAGCTCCTTCCTCCCTTCTTTCTTCTCTTTCTCTGTTCCCCCTCCTTTCTTTCTTTTTCCTCCCTGCTTAACTCCTTATCCTTATACCCTTCCCAATACCTACTAAATAAACTCTATATCCAAGCTCTCTCTGCATGCTGTATCTGTCTGTCTGTCTCCCACCCACCTCAGTCTGCCACCCACCAGGAGGCCTGCCAGGGTTGTGCAGCCATGAATCATAACAGACATGGCTCTGACTGATAAGAAATTTGGAACAAACTGTATTATAGAATTAGCATTATTTTGTCAAACAATTTTTAGTAATGCATATGTTGATGGTGTGTTGAATGATTTGGAGAAATAGTAAAAAAAAAAATGATGACCTCAAAGCTGTTCATACTGATTCCTAGAACCTATCAGTATTACTTTACATTGTAAAGACAAAATACAAATGAAATTAAGGTTGCCAATAAACTAAACTTAAAATAGGGAGTATATCCTAAATCATTTGGGAGGCAGAGTTAGTAAGAGTTCAAGGCCAGCCTTGACTAGTGAGACCCTGTTTTGCTAGGATAGCCAGAGTTGCACAGTGAGACCCTGTTTTGCTAGGATAGCCAGAGTTGCACAGTGAGATTCTGTTTTGCTAGGATAGCTAGAGGTGCACAGTGAGACCCTGTTCTGCCCAAGGGGGGGGGGCAGAATAAGAAATTTTCTAAGGGCTATAGATGTGGTTCACTATTTCAACCTGCCATACAGATTTTGAACTTCCTAGCAAATTCCCACAGTAGAATAAGTCACTTACTTGTGATATGTTTTCTAAAGTCTCTATCTCTCTGGTTGAAACCTGACTGATACAAATTTTGGTACCTAGACTAGGATGAAGTTGATGGAATGACTTAAAATATGGAAGTGGGGCCAGCAGTGGTGACACACACCTTTTAATCCCAGCACTTGTGAGCCAGAGAAAGCAAGATCTCTAGGTAGCCTGTAGTCTGGTCTACAGGGTGAGTTCCAGGACAGTCAGGGCAACAAAGAGAAACCCTGCCTCAAAAAAAAACCATATGTATTTATGGAAGTGAATTTTAAACTGGGCTGTGGTCAGGGGACAGATGAAATTGCAGATACAGAATAGAAAAGGTTCAGATTGCTCTGTACAGACTTGGTAGAAATGTGACAAGTATGTTTAGTGAAGGCGCAAAAGGAACTGAGGAGCTTGGTGCTTGTAGAACATGTTGGCACATGGAACTTATAAATCCTTTAAAGGAAACTATGAAGAGAAATATAGACATTAAAGTTACTATTAGAAAGGGCCCAGGCAGGGAGAACATTTTGAAAGCTAAAGGAAAATTAATACTTTTATTCTTATATAGTAGCAGAACCCTTAGCTGCATTGTGGCGTACATTATATGAAGAAAATCATTCATTCATTTGGATGTTTGGCTAAGGAAATTTCCAGGGAAAGAGTTGGAAGTACAGCCTGATTTCTTCTTGCTGTTTATAGTAAAATATGAGATGGACGACTGGAGGAAATTTTCTTCCTAATTGCTTTGTAACGTATGTTAAAATCAGGAGATTCGCTGCCAGACACGCTTGCATTGGAGAGAAAGTCACAGGTACAACTGGGAAAGCTTTCACTAGTGCTGAGAAATTCCAGCATAGGCTCTTTAAAGGGGCAAACAGATTTTCTATTAACACGCTTTTAATGATTTTTCCCTCGTGTACCGAGAAAGCTATGTGACACAGACTGCAGAGATCACAGGTACCACACCCTCTGGCTGACAGAACTTTCGAAAGTTGGTCTCATCTTTCCAGTCTCCAGTTCCCCTGGTAATAGGTTAGAAAAAAAGAAAGTATTATTTTCTTCAGACTACAGTCATTAACAGCCAATGAGTAGGAGTCGTTCCTGACACTTGGCAGCACTGATAAATTTCAAAATAATGTTGATTTGAATATAAAATGGGAAAAAGAAGTTTGTTGCTGGCACATTTAGATTTGGTCTAGCTCTCGATTTTTCCACATGGCCTACTTGGGTTAATCCCAGCAGTCTTCTCATGTGCTGAGATGTTTGGAAGTAGGCCCAGAGATTCAAACTTATTAGGTCAGCTCATTCAAGTTTCCATTGTCTCACAAATTGTCTGGCAATTGCTTCTTCCTCTTCTATATAACGAAGTGCTGTGTGAAGTATTTGTGATACTTTGAATGAAAATTTGTCTCCTATCGCCTCCGATATTTGAATACTTGGTCTCTGGTTGGTGAAGCTCTTTGGGGAGACATTGTGGGGCTGCTGGAGAAAGTACCCACTGGGTTGGGCTTCAGGAGTTCATAGCACTGCACCCCATCCAGTTTTCTCTCTCCACTTGGTGTTTGTGGCTGAAGATTTGATCTGTCAGCTTTTTGCTCTGGATCCCTACTTCTATAGCACCCCCAACCATTATGGTCTCTCTCTGGGAACATAAACAAAAATAAACTTTCTTCCCACAGTCTCATTTGGTTATGGAATTCAATCACAGCAGCTGAAGAGTAACTCACAAAGTTTTTGTTATCTTCCTTTTATGTTTATGAATTTGATATAATTTAGTATTAAAATAATCCATGGGTGATTTTTTCCTTTGGGAAGACTGCATTGCAATCTCAACTTTTTATCTCAAAATTTATACAAGTCATGAAGTATTTGAAAGACATGACTTATAATATTAATTTTATCTTTTGATGTATTTAGGCTATACAGTGATGTTCTTCTTTTTATTCTAGATATTGGTAATAGGTTTTTTCTCCTCTCTTCTTAACATAAGTATTAATATGAGAGTATCACCGTCATTGAATTTTTTTTAAAAATAAACACCATTCCCTTTGATATATTCCCTGTTTCTTTTTATTTCCTATTCCAACGAATTCTCCTATTATGCTATAATTTTTCATATCTCCTTTGGGTTTACCTTTCTCTTTTGCTAGCTTTCTTATTTACTCTATGCCTTACTTTTCAAATTTAAATCAAAACACATAAAATACGAAGAGGTTGTATATTTTCTCTGTGGGGTACTTATGTTTTAATGAATATTCTATTTGGATTTGTCATTTCTATCTTCTTCAACAGGTCGGTAAATTATAAGTGTATTTCTTGATTTCAAAGTACTTTTGGAATACTATTTTAATACTCCCCAATTTTTTATTTGAGGATATATTCTGTGTAACTGTAGTCCTTGAAAAATGATTGAATTATTTTATGTCACTAACAGCCAAACAGCAGTAGTGGTTCTGGAGCATATTATCAAACCTCCCATCTACATTTGGAAGAAATAGATGTTGTGTTGTGGTGATATTTTGTTTGTGCTATAACAAATAAAGCTTACCTGGAGATCAGAGTGCAGAGTTACCTACTAGTTAGCCATAGAAACCAGGCGGTGGTGCACACACCTTTGATCCCAGCACTCCGGAGGCAAAGGCAGGTTGATCTCTGTGAGTTCAAGGCCACCTGGGACACACAGGATTGTTCCAGTCTTAAATAAAAACAGCCAGGGCAGTGGTAGCTCACACCTTACGTGGGGGTTGCATGCCTTTAATCCCAGCACTAGGAAAATTGAGACAGGATGGGATATGACTGGGTGGAGAAAGGAATATAAGGTGGGAGGAGACAGAAGCTCACTGCATTCAGTCTGAAGATTCCTAGAGATAGGATCACCAATTTGGTCTGAGGACTCAGTAAGGTAAGAACTAGTGGCTGGCTGCACTGCTCCTCTGATCTTCAGGCAAGCATTGTTTATTATAGTACAAACAAAATATCACCTCATTCTGTAGTTTGTCAGAATGAAGATTTATAAATATTAGCTAAAAGTTGTTTCATATGTTTTGATGTTATTTATGCATGATTTCCTTTGTGCTTAATAATCTACTAAAAGAATGTGTTAATGTATTCAAGTATGATAGTGTATTTATTTGTCCATCTCTCTGCTCAAGTCTACCATTTTTTAAGCCTTATCACTTTGAATCTGTTATTTAATTCACACGGGTAGGGTTTTTTGTTGTTGTTTGTTTTGTTTTAGTGTGATGAGTTCGCATTTGTCATTGTGAAATGTATCTCTTTTGTATTATAGTAAACATTTGTCTGATGAACACATCCCATAGCTATCTTTTTTTAGTTATGATCATTTATTTACTAAGCTATACAAAAGAAGGAAGATAATGAGCTAAGCTGTCAGGCTTGCTGAACCACCGTGGTCCAACCTTGCCCTGGCAAAGAAGTGGAAAGGGGAAAGTTGAGGCAGCTGGGGAGCTCAGAGGGAGCAGGTCAGGAGTTGAAACAACGGCAATGATGGTAGAGGAGCTGTTTCTGGAGACAGGTAATTGACAAGTCAGGAAGAAGCAAGAGGCTAGCAGCTCTGGGGCAGGGCGGGAGCAGACATCAGGGAAAGGCAACTGTATTCATCTGTTCCCAGGTTAACTCCAGACCCCAAGGGGCCCCACTGCTAGCACATTAGCAGGAGCTCAAGCTAAATCCCCACTGTCCTGCTTTGCTCTGCTGCTGTTGTGCTAAAACACTGGGCTGAGCTGGACTAGGGCTGGTGGGGAAGTGGGTTCCTGGGACTGAGATGGAGAGATCCTAGACAGTGGAAAGTTGCCATGGTCAGAACCCAGCATGAGAGGTTTCTAGGTAAGCTGGTTCTCTTGAAGATGTGGCAGGAGTATAAGGGATAAGAGAAGAGTTACGCCAGATCAGAGACCTGCAGAGCTGAAGTCATATGAAGGACAGAAACACAAGAGGGCAGTGTCTGAGTCCAGTTTACAGGTCCTAGGTCCTAGTCTTTCTGCCCTGGTGTCAATCACCCAGTTTCATAGTTCTTAAAATGTTAGTTTTGCATGATATATCTTTCTCCATAATTTCAGGCTTAACCTGCATTTACACCTAATGTAAATATTCTATAAACAGCAGAATTGGGTTTTTGATTTTTTTATCCAACATTATTGGTTCGGTCTTAAAATTGAAAAGGTCATTCAATTTATATGTAATATGCAATACTTCTATGGCTGTATCAATTTAATTTTCTATTCAAACAATCTGTCTTCAGTCCTTTGTTTATAACTTTTTGTTTCCTTTTGCTTATGAATTTTTAGTATTCATTGATATCTTCAGTTGCAGTGAGCAGAATAATTTGTAAGTATGTTTTCTCAAGAAATGATAAAAGTAGTCATTTCTTTTCACAATTTACCTTAGGTTGACATGAGATTGATTCACATAAAATACAAAATAGTTTTAAGCATTTGATCTTCATCCATTTTCCTATGACACAGGAAGATTAACATAAGACAGAGGAGATATATTTGAGAATTCATATGGTAGTAAAACTCTGTTTATAAAATCAAATTGGGAAACTCTCAAAAAAACTTTTATATCTACTATATAGAGGATCTTTTAACTAGAAAGAAATAAAATGAAATTAATGAAAAGAAATAGGCCTGCACCCAGATTCCAAGCCAAAATATTCACTAGAGAACTCATACTGGAGAGAAATAATGGAAAATCAATGAATGTGAATGCACTTATTGAGTTTTCAATTAAGACACATATGGGATAACACAATGGTCATAAACTCAATCAATATGAGATTTACATGTTTTAAATGTTCCTTGAATCTTCAGAGTCATATAGAGAATACATTGGAGACAAATATATGAGGATACAAACGTCAAAAGCATTAATTCTTCATCAACCACTCTACATATAACACCAAAGAGAAGAAAAGTCTCATGAATATAAGAATAGTAAAAATTCACTCCAACTTTTTTGATGACTAAGTTCTGAGTGTAAAAATTGGGAGAAAACCTTTATTTGTTAAATATCTATTAGGACATAAGTGAGAACTCATATCAAATTTGTAACCTATGGATATAATACAATGTGAGAAAGTCTTTATTACTTATATCCCTAATGTGCATGTAAAATTTATCATTGAAGAGAAGATTTATGGTTATGAATGTGGGACAAACCTTTACTTAATCTTCCTTAAAATTTACACAAGTGAGAAAAAATGGAAGCATTCTACAACTATAAAAAACGTAGCTTCTGGTCTTCCATTCATAACTATGTGAGTACAAACATGAAACAAGTCTCTATGATTTGAACAGTATGACAAATCTTCCAGTTATTTTTTATATTTTACAATACATTATATACCATACTTTTGTGTATTCATTGGAGAGGAAAGTATATGTGATGGACAGTTTAAAAAGCCAAGGTGACTGGATTAAGGGATATGTAAAGAGCTGATAAAGTGTTAATCCTGGGTGTGTCTGCATTTCTAAAAGAAATGAGAATTTGAACCATTAGTCCAGATAGAGAAGATTCACTTTCACCTGAGAGAAACTGGTCCCAGCTGTCTTCTGCATCTGGAGCACCAGCTTCCTCCAGCCTCTGGATAGCGGAACTCCAGTATTTAGACTCCAGAACTTCCAACAGTCAGCTCACATAGTCTCGGGCTTTTGGATTAGAACTGAGCTTTACTAGTAGTGTGGCCGGTTTCCTAGATTGCATGTAGCATATTGTGGGCTTCTCAATATCCATAATCACGTGAAATAAATAAATCCTCTTTCTTTTCTCTCTTTTAATTGTTTAGGTGTTTTTGCCTCTATGTAGTTCTTTGCACCATATAAAGTAACTGCTGCCTACAGAAGCCAAATACGGGGCTGAGAACTCATGGACCTGAAGTTACAGATGATTGTGAGCTGCTATGTGGATGCTAGGAATAGAACCCAGGTCCTCTGGAAGAGAAAAAAGTACACTTAACCACTGAGCAATCTCCTCAGACCCTCTTTCTATTTCTTATAGAGGGGAAAAACCTGAAACAATATGTTCAGCTGCTCCTCATCCCTTATGAAATATAAGAACTCACACTAGATTGAAATGATTTTAATATAAGGAACTATATATATATTCTTTCAAATCTATATGAAGGTTTATGCTAAAGAGAAATTATATAACTATAAGAAATGTGAGAAAGTAAATTTTATCTTTAGAACATAAGTAAGTACATACACTAACGAGAACTCATACAAACAGAAACATGTAAGAGTTAAAATATTTCTTACTCTTTAGTCAGAGAATTAGAATCAATAGTTAAATGCCTATCAAGATTATGAAAAATCTGCCAGCCCAACCCAGGCCTGAATTAGTGATGGACACAGAGGGTGCTCCCCCCACACTCTCAGGGCTTTGGTGGCCACATTCAAGCAGGAGCTACCAGCCCAACCCAGGCCTGAATTAGCAATGGACACAGAGAGTGCCCCCCCAGACTCTTAGGTCTGAGGGACACATTCAAGCAGGAGCTGCTGGCATAATCTGGGCCTGAACTGGCAATGGACACAGAAGGCACCCTCCAGACTCTCAGGTCTGGGACGGCCACATTCAAGCTGGAGCCACCGCCCATCCCAGGTAATAGACACAACACAGCAGAGCAGAGCAGGGGCAGGGGCAGGGGATTCTAACGCTGGCCTGTAGCAGAACTTTAGCCAGGCATCCACTCCATGTCATGTGGCTGGGGTGCATGGAACATAGCCAAATGCACCAACCAGAATCCTGCAATAAGTGCTGCTTGGTTGGGTGCTATAATGATCTCCTTGTGATGAAGAAACATGGCCCAGCCCTGTGTCACAGTGACCTGAGTGAGACGGAGATGCACACACAGGCCTGGGGCTGCTCACTTCAGGCTCCAAAGAGAAAACATGGGCCCACCCAGTACCTTGGAGCACCAGCCAGAAGACCACTATTAGAGTGAGCAGAGGTATAGTATGGTGTTTAATGGAGGAGAGGGAGGGAGAGAGGGAGGAAGGGAGGGAGGGAGGGAGGGGGAGAGAAGGGCTCAGCTCCTGTGGATAGAAGAAAATCTCAAGAGATTAGAGAGGGAGGGAGAGAACTGAGATGCTGAGGGAGCTGGCCCCTTGACCAGCTGCAACACACAGGAAAGTGAGACCTGTACTTTGACGGGGCAGCAGAGCAGAGATCACCTTGTTAATGAAAGCATAAGTGAGCCAACTCTGAGGATGGGAACATAAGAGACCTAGCCCCATTCCTCATCTGCCCTTCCCCATTAATGCCTGGAGCAGGTGGGAGAGCTGGACCAGTGGTCATAAGAGTGGAAGACCTGCCACTGGCCCCTACCAGCTGCAACGCTTGAGAAAGCAGGCCCTGCACCTCACCAAGGCAGCACAATAGAGCCAACCCTGTTAGTGCATGTGTGGGTGCGCCAGACCCAAAGATGTGAGCAAAGGAGGGCTCTCCCCATTTCTCATCTGTCTTGTGACAGCATAGGCTCCCCCAACCCATCAACACCTGAGGCAGCTGGGAGAGCTGGTCCTGAGGTCAAGAAAGCAGGAGTTGTCCCTGCCCCCTACCAGCTGCAGCACCAGGGAGAACAGACCCTGCATCTTCCTTGGACAACATAATAGATACAACTCTGTTGGTGGAGGTGTGGGTGAACCAGCCCCAAAGTTCATCTATTATGAGACAGAATGGGTGGGGGGGGATTGCCCGCTCCCCCGGCACATCAAAGTCTGAGGCAGGTAGGAGAGCTGGTCCGTGATCATAAGAACAGGAAGGCCATCCCTAATCTCCAACAGATTCAACATTCAGGAGAGCAGGCCCTGCACCTCACCAGGGCAGCAAAATGGAGCCAATCCTGTTGGTGTAGGTATGGGGGAGGCAATCCTGACGATGTCAGCATAGGAGAGATGTCTCCACTTCTCATCTGTCTTGTGGTGGCAGGAGTGGGGCAATGATGCACTCCCCCATCAATGTCAGAGGCAGATGGGAGAGCTGACTCTGTGTTTGTAAGAGAGGGAGAGCCATCCCTGAACCCCTCCAGCTGCAACATTCAAGAGAGCAGGGCCCTGGGCAACACAATTAAGTCAATTGTGTTGGCAGAGGGTGAGCCAGCCCTGAAACCATGAGCGTGGAACAGCCGTCTCCATTACCCATCTGCCTTGTGGTAGCATACGTAGAGAACAGATCTGCCTTTCCATCAACACCTAAAACAGGAGGGAGAGCTGGCTCTCCAGTCAGAAGTATAAGAGATACATCCCTGACCCCCACCAGCAGCAGCACCTGGGAGAGAAGGCCCTGCACCT